TAGTTAAGACTTTCGCTATTCTAGAGAAAATTATCGCTGTTCCAGGTGAAATATTTTTTTCGTGTTGTAAATAATTAATAAGCGTAGAAATATAAATAATTCTTATAATTTATTTATTTTATTATTTATTATTATATTTCTTATTTTTTATTATTTATTTTATTATTTTTTTATTACTTATTTAATTATTTTTTATTATTTATTAGTGAGGCCTTGGATTTTCTTCTAAATCGTCAATTATTTTTATTTTTTTTTAATTAAAACTTTGAATTTCTGAAAATAACTTTTGTATAATTTAAAAAACTTAACAATTTTTTCAAGAATTTTAATTAAAAATTTTGAAAATAATTGTTCTCTATAAAATTTTAATAAATTGTAAAAAATTAATTTTAAAACAAAATTTCAGATATGCAGATTTGCAGATATTCAAATTTTTAAAATATGTAATTGAAAACTTTTAATTAATTTATAATTTAAAATTTTAATAAATTATTATTTAACTATTAATTTTAAAATAATTGAATTCAAAAAAAATTATAATGAAAAAATTCTAAGAATTACATTTTAATAAAAAGAAATTCTCAATAAACTTTGATTATTTATTTTCATTTTTATTTTTTATTAAAATTTTTATTAATTCAATTATTTAAAATTTTGCAATTAAAATTTTTAAAAATTTGATTATTAAATTGTTAATTTTAAAATAATTAAATTTAAAAAAAATTATAATGAAACATTCTAAGAATTACATTTTAATAAAAAAAAATTCTCAATAAACTTTGATTATTTATTTTCATTTTTATTTTTTATTAAAATTTTTATTAATTCAATTATTTAAAATTTTGCAATTAAAATTTTTCAAAACTTAATTATTAAATTATTAATTTTAGAATAATTGAATTTAAAAAAATTATAATGAAAAAATTCCAAGAATTACATTTTAATAACAAAAATTTTCAATGAACTTTGATTATTTATTTTCGTTTTGATTTTTAATTAAAATTTTTATTAATTCAATTATTTAAAAGTTTGCAATTAAAATTTTTCAAAATTTGAATACCTAATAAATTGTTAATTTTAAATTAATTGAATTTAAAAAAATTTATAATGAAAACATTCTAAGAGTTACATTTTATAAAAAAAATTCTTAATAAAAATGTATTATTTTCATTTTTATTTTTCATTAAAATTTTTATTAATTCAATTATTTAAAAATTTTTAAATTAAAATTTTTCAAAATTTGATTATTAAATTGTTAATTTTAAAATAATTGAATTTAAAAAAATTATAATGAAAAAATTCCAAAAATTGCATTTTAATAACAAAAATTTTCAATAAACTTTGATTATTTATTTTCATTTTTATTTTTCATTAAAATGTTTGTTAAGTAGGTAATTGAGCAATTCCACGCCAAGTGATCATAAGAATTTTCGATGATTTTAGCAATATTAAAAATACTTTCAGAATTTGTTCCTTTTTATACATGGAATAAAAGTGTATAAAAGTTTTTTCAAAATTTTCAAAATTTTTTGAGTTACCTCTTACTCAAAATTTTGGTCGGTTTTTCAAAAAAGGCACATAACTTTTTTTCTTGTTAACCGATTAAGATAATTTTTTTTGGAAAATACTCATAATAAGAAGTACTTTAAAGAAAAAAATAAAAATTTAAAAAAAAAATTTTTTTTGCCCGAAAAAAATTTCAAAAAATTTTTTGAATTAAAATTTTGAAAAAAATATATCTTCGATTTGAAATTTTTTTTTTGGTAAATATTGTCAATAAAGTAAAGAATACTTCCTGTAAATTTAATTATGGGACAACAATAACTTTACGAGAAAAAAAATAAAGTGTCCAGCGCGGCGTGCTGGGACTTGTGCATGTATTCACTTATGGCGGCGCAAGTTTCGTTTCAAATCACTCTACAGGTCACAATTCTTTACCAAAACGCTTTTTCTTTTTTTCTAAATCTTCGTAATTAAATTCTCTATCGATCTCTCGAGCCTTATTTTTGAATTTTTGTTTTTAAACATTTTTTAAATAACAATAAGTATTAAAATAATCAAAAAATCGTAAAATATATTTTCCTTAGTTTTATTGATTAAAAAAACTATTTAAAAAACCTATTAAAATAATGTTTGATTGATAAAAAATAAAAAATTATTTAGTTAAAAATTGTTATACAATAAAAAGTTATTATTTTGTTATAAACGGTACTTAGGGTTAAAAATTTATATTTTTTCTGAATTGTGCAATTTTTCATAAGTAAAGTATTCAAGTATAAAAGAAAAACTAAAAATTAATTATTTAACCCTTGTTTAAACAGTTTATAGTTTTCAACTTTTCAATTAATTGTTTAGAAAAAATTAGAAATTTCTAACCCAAATAAAAATTATGAAAAAATTTAAAAAATTACATAAGAAACAAATATAAATTTCTTACCCTAAGTATAAATATTTTATGTAAAAAATAGTAACAATTAATTGTTTAAACAATGTTTTAATAAATAATTGTTTTTTTATCATCAGTAGATGTATTACTCACGAAAAATTGCACAATTCAGAAAAAATATAAATTTTTAACCCTAAGTACCGTTTATAACAAAATAATAACTTTTTATTGTATAACAATTTTTAACTAAATAATTTTTTATTTTTTATCAATCAAACATTATTTTAATAGGTTTTTTAAATAGTTTTTTTAATCAATAAAACTAAGGAAAATATATTTTACGATTTTTTGATTATTTTAATACTTATTGTTATTTAAAAAATGTTTAAAAACAAAAATTCAAAAATAAGGCTCGAGAGATCGATAGAGAATTTAATTACGAAGATTTAGAAAAAAAGAAAAAGCGTTTTGGTAAAGAATTGTGACCTGTAGAGTGATTTGAAACGAAACTTGCGCCGCCATAAGTGAATACATGCACAAGTCCCAGCACGCCGCGCTGGACACTTTATTTTTTTTCTCGTAAAGTTATTGTTGTCCCATAATTAAATTTACAGGAAGTATTCTTTACTTTATTGACAATATTTACCAAAAAAAAAATTTCAAATCGAAGATATATTTTTTTCAAAATTTTAATTCAAAAAATTTTTTGAAATTTTTTTCGGGCAAAAAAAATTTTTTTTTTAAATTTTTATTTTTTTCTTTAAAGTACTTCTTATTATGAGTATTTTCCAAAAAAAATTATCTTAATCGGTTAACAAGAAAAAAAGTTATGTGCCTTTTTTGAAAAACCGACCAAAATTTTGAGTAAGAGGTAACTCAAAAAATTTTGAAAATTTTGAAAAAACTTTTATACACTTTTATTCCATGTATAAAAAGGAACAAATTCTGAAAGTATTTTTAATATTGCTAAAATCATCGAAAATTCTTATGATCACTTGGCGTGGAATTGCTCAATTTAATTATTTTAAAAATTCGCAATTAAAATTTTTCAAAAATTTAATTTTTAAAAATTCTAATAAAATTCTTAAATTTTTATTATTATTATTATTATTGTTATTATTATTATTATTATTATTATTATTATTATTATTATTATTATTATTATTATTATTATTATTATTATTATTTTGACATCTGTAATTTTAATTTTCGACTCAAGAAGAAATCTTTACGATTTCGAAACGTTGGAGAAAATTTAAATATTAAAAAAATATTGTTTATTACCCGAAAGTGTTTGTTTTAATTAATCTTTTTTACTTTAAATGATACTAGAATGTTAAAGGTTCCAATAACATGAAAAAAATAAATTATTTTCCTAAAAATTTTTATACAATTTTAATTATTTAAATACTTTTTAATTCTGTACGATTCCAGTAGATTATCAAATATTTTCGGAGCAGTCACTGCAAATTTAAAAATTAACATCAATATTACATTTATTCGTATAGTTTTAACCAAAAGGATTGTTTAATCATTTCAAAACTTTTTGAGCCAAAACAATTGTTTGTTTACAAAATTCAACAAAATTACTCAAAATTGTTAGTTAACAAAATATTGTAAATAAGTTTATTACTTACTTGAAGTGATTCATTTTCTGAATTGAATGCAAAAAACAAAACTGGTTTATCTTCAATCATTTAAAAGACATGAGCAATTAAACAATTTTGAGCAATTCTTGTATTTTTTATTCAAACAATTTTGAGCATTTGTTGTATTTTGTATTCAAACAATTTTGAGCAATCATTGTATTTTGTATAAATAAACAATTGTTTTGGTCCAAAAAGTTGATTTTCTGAAATTTGATTCAAATAAATGTGGAAAATTAATATTACTTTTCAAGTAATTCTATGAGCTGCTCCGAAAACATTTAACAATCTGCTGGAATCGCACTTTCATATTTCTTAGAATATTCAAAAATAAATTTTGAAACATTTGACTATGTAGATTCTGCACTATAAAAATTGAAGTACTTTGAATTTCGTACAACAAAAATTTTACCCATTTTGTTGCAATAATTTGAAACAAAAGTCGCACTTTTTAAAAGAAAGTCGAAAAGAGTATAAAAATTCGTACTATCCAAAGTCTGTATTACTAATAATAGTCCATTCATCAGTACTTTCCAGACAAGAAAATCGATTACACCCTGAAAAATTATCTAATCCGATATTTTTCGGATAGGTTATGTTATAAAATTCGTGCTCCGAATGTACGTAAGCTGCGAGAGAGATCAATCTTTGCGTCTGGAATATATTCAAGGAATGCGCCTCATGTACTTGACAACGTTGGGTTTGTTCAACTACAACCATTTAAAAGAATTCTCCAACCAAGGGCACTGAGAGAAAAAGAAGATTCGTCTTCTTCAAACAAAATTGAGAGAAGAAGCAAGAGAGAGGGAAAATGAGAATGGTCCATGGGGATTCTGTTAGAAATGCAGTGTGTATGCGTAGTGGAGCAGTTATGGATTCCAAAAAAGCTTTTGTTATCTCAAAATTCTGTTATCTTTGGGTACATTAAAAATTGCAATTTTCTTTTAATTTTTTTCTTAATCACTCACAGGCACTTTTTATAGAAATTCCTTTCTGAAAATTCTTGCACACTCATTGGCACGTGATCAAGACAATTTATAATGACGTTCACGGAGGCAACAACACATTGTCACGATCGAAGGCATAGCCCAACACGAAGGCATGAACGTAACTGCCGTTCAATTTTCTAGCCGGTCTCCCTCTGCCATTCTTGTATATGAACTTTTCCTCGTCGAACAGAAGCGCCACATTACGGATAACCGGTGGAATCATGCGAGACAACGACATTTACATTTTTACTTCATTTATTTTCAACTACTTCTTCAGTACTTTTGAATTTTATTCAATTTTATTACGAAACATTAAGGGAAAAAAAGAACATTCTCTGTTGTCGTTACTCTGATAATTAAATGACTAGTTGGTATATTTTTGGTCCAAAATATTGTCGTTACTCCGATAATTAAACGACTAGTTGGTATATTTTTGGTCCAAAATATTGTCGTTGTACCAGAAGCACTCCAACAGAATTGCCACAAAAACTTAATTTTGTTTTTCCCTGATTTTCAGAAAGAATTTTAACTTTTTCCCTGACCCTTAAGTCCCTAAAGAATATTCTGATTCACTCTAAAAATGATTAGATGCTCAAAAAAATTTCTATTGCATTTATTTAAAAATTTCTTCAAAAGTCAAATTATTCGAAAACATCAATAACTAAATTTTTAAATAAGTATTTAATTATTATTTTTCCATAGGAATTAAAATTCTTCAAAAGATTCAAATTCAAACCTTTTTGAAATTCAACAACCTATAAGGTTGTTGAATTATTATAAAACAGAACATTATAGAACATTATAAAACATGTTCTTAATATCAGGGACAGTTACCAAATGTTTGTGCTGAGTTTGTGTTGTGTTCAGAACACAACTCAATTTGAATATTAAAATTTTGTTGTGTTCAAAACACAACACAATTCAAATTTTGAAATGTGTTTGTGTTCGAAAAAACACATGTGGCGAGTTCAATTTATTATTGAAATCTGTTTGTGTTCTGAACACAACACATTTCAATTTTTTGAATTGTGTTGTGTTCTGATCACAACACAAACTTGATATTTGTGTTCATTTGTGTTGGAAAGAGTCCCTGGTTCTTATAATAATTAAAAATAACCCAGTGATAAAATTATTATTTTATATAAAAATATTGTTATTCTAACATCTTCGAAATTATTTCCATAATTTAAAATCAATTATTACTATTTTCTAAAATTTTTTACTAAAATTCTTCTTCAAATCAATTATTTTTAATAAAAGTTCTTTGGGAATTTTCAAATCCATTTGTTTACAATTCAATTTTACCATAAATTTCGATTATTAGGGAATTTTTCAATAAAATAATTAGAAAATAGAAAACTTTAAATAATTTTTAAAAAAATTGCATTAAACTATAAAAAAAAATTAATTCTATACAGAATTTTAGTTAAAAGTACGAAAAATTCAAATTTTCAAAGTTTTTATTTGAAACCTTTTCAAAATTCAATTATTTCTAAAAATTCACGCAATAACGCTTTTAATATTCAATTATTATCTAAAATTTTAACTGAAATTCATTATGAAATAAATTTTTATTACAACATTCTACGAGAATTCAATTATTTAAATACAGAAATAAATAATCTTACCAAACATTTTATTTAATTTTTTGAAAATAATTGAATCTGTTTGTGAAATTTTATTAAAATTGTACTGATAATAATTCAATTCCATCGAAGAATATTGTTTATGAAAATAATTGAATTCTTGCGAAGAATATTTATTAAAATATTTGAAAATCCTAAATAATTTCTTACGAAGAATTTCTTTGAAGTTTTTAAAATATTTCAATTCATTAAAGAAATTTTCTTTAAAATTGTATTGAAAATAATTGAATTCCTCAGATGAATCTTATTATTTATTAAAATAATTGAATTCTTTCGAAGACTTTTGTCAAAATTTAAAGAATTAATTTAATTCTTTCCAAAAATTTAAAAAAATAATTGAATTCTTTAGTAAAATTTTATTAAAATTATACTGATAATAATTAAATTCAATTGAAGAATATTGTTTATGAAACTAATTGAATTCTTGCGAAGAATATTTATTAAAATATTTGAAAATCCTAAATAAATTCTTACGAAGAATTTCTTTAATATTTTTAAAATAATTTAATTCATTTAAGATATTTTATTAAAATTGTATTGAAAATAACTGAATTCTTTCGAAACATATTTATTAAAATTTTAAGAAATAATTGAATTGATTCGAAGATTATTATCAAAATTTAAAAAAATAATTGAATTCTTTCGAATATTTTTAAAAATAATTGAATTCCTGCAAAGAATTTTAATATTTATAAAAATAATTGAATTCTTCCGAAGAATGTTATTATTTATGAAGAGATAATTGAATTGTTTCGAAAGATTAATTAAAATTTTGGAAAATAATTGCATTTGTGTGAAAAATTTTATTAAATTTTGTTTTATAATAATTGAATTTTTGCCAAGAATTATTTTAAAATTTTTGAAAATAATTAACTTCTTGAGAAGAATTTCGCTTCTCATTTATAAAAATAACTTAATTCTTGACGATAATTTCTCAAAAATTTTGAAAATAATAATTTAATTTCTGCAAAGTATTTTATTACTTTCCAAAAGAATTGAATTCTTGAGATAAATTTTGATATTGATCAAAATAATTGAATTTTGGAAAAGAATTCTATTCAAATTCCTTAAAATAATTGATTTTATGGGAAGAATTTTGTTGATTTTCAAGATAATTGAATTCTTTTGCAGAATTAAACTTACAAATTTTTGAAAATAATTAATTTTCTACGACGAATTAAAAATTATTCATGAAAATAATTGATTTATTTCAACAAATTTTATTATTTTATTGAATAATCGAATATTTCTTAAAATGGAATTCTTTTGTCGAGTTTTAATACAATTTTTAAGAATAATTGCATTTTTCGAGGAATTTATTTAAAATTGTATGAAAAATATTTGAAATTCTGCGATGAAAATAATTGAATTTTTATTATATTTGAAATTTTATTATTTATGAAAATAATTGAATGTTTTCATAGAATTGTATCATAAAATTTTTTTCAATAATTAAATTTTGTGATAAAATTTTATGAAAGTAGTAAATATTGAAAATCATTGAATTGCGAGAAACTTTTGAAAATAATTGAAATTTTGCAAAGAATTTTATTTAAACTTTGAAAACAATTGAATTTTTTGTGAAAAAGTTTGCTATTTATAAATAAAATTCAATTCTTGTTGAGATATTCGTTAAACTATTTTAAATTAATTGGATTTCTATGAAGAATTTTATTACTTTTTGAAAATAATTGAATTCTTGTGATGAATATTGTTTAAATGGAAATAATTGAATTTTTGGTGGAAAATTTTTTTTATTTCTAAAGAAAATTGAATTCTTGACGAGATGTTTGTTAAAGTCTTTGAAAATAATTGATTTTTTACGAAGAATTTTATTACTTTTTGAAAATAATTGAATTTTTGTGATGAAAATTGTTATTTATGAAAACAATTGAATTTTTGTGAAAATTTTTACTATTTATAAAGAAAATTGAATTCTTGACGACATATTCGTTAAAATTTTTGAAAATAATTGAATTTCTATGAAGAATTTTATTACTTTTGAAAATAATTGAATTTCTGTAATGAATGTTGTTATTTAAGAAAATAATTGAAATTTGCGTTCATAGTTTATGAGGCAAACAAAAAATACACAAAAATTCAGAATTTTCTTATGAATTTGAAAATTTTAATTTTTTCCAGTACTTTCAATAAAAATCCCTGACTTTTTCCTGATTTCCCTGACCAATTCCACTTTCCCTAACTTTCCCCTGAATTACCTAAAATTTCCTGTCCAACTACAAATTCTAAAAAATCTGAAGTACCAAAAACAAATTTAATCGCATTGATCGATATCGAACGGCGAAGAAAAGAATGAAAAGAAAAACCAAAAAAATGAGTAAACAATATTTTATCAACACCGAATAATTGATTGATGATTTATTATTGTTGGGAGATTACAAGAGAATTTTAAGCCATTTCGGTATTATAAGAATTTGGCAAATAATGTAATTTTATCGTCTTTTAAATGCATTGTTTTGTTATTGTGTCATCACATAAACAAAAGTGAATAATTCAAAGCAAATATCTAAAAAAAATCATTTCCTACAAAAATTGTACAAGTTTTTGTAAGAAATGCCTTTGTAGAAAAAAGAAAAACTTTTACAAAAATGCAAACTTCAGAAAAAAATTTTTCTTTGCTAAAAATGGAACTTTTTCAAATATAGAAAATGGTATTTCGAATATTATCAGAAACCCCATTATGTTATATAAACAAAAAATATATAGTGGAAAGGCCACTGTAAACTATAAATTGAAATAAAAAGTTATACGTAATCAGACAAAATGTCAACTACTGGTACAATATATACATAACAGTAATTTTTAGTGTCCTTACTTGATTGTTACGACATAACTGCATCGCTTCTTCGTCACGAATATCTGAATAAATAACTATATCGAAATTGTATTATAGTAATTCAATTGAATTACAAGTTTAAACTTCTTGGAAATTTATAAAGAAAAAAGAATCAAAATTACAATCCTAGTACAGAAAATACAACGTTGCAACTGAAACTACTTTTGCTTTATAAACTTTCAATAAAGAAGTTCAAAAATTTTGCATTTTGAAGAATTCTTTTGTCCATCCGGATTCCAACTCAAATACAAAAGAAATACAAGAATCTAAGAAAAGTGAATTTGTTCATCAAAAATTTTTTTCTCTTCTCTCGAATCAATAATTCAATATTTATCTAATGCTAATTATCGACAATTAACAAATTATATAAAGAATTTTCTGCCAAAGTGAACAATTGGAAGAATCAACAACCTTGTCCCACTTGTTCCAAAGAATAAATCCTGATTATTTCATTCTATTAAATAAATACTTGTGTATGTATATAAATTTTCCAAGCCACAGTCTAGTTTTGTTTTTATATATCGTGCTTTCTCTAAATAAACTATTTAATTGTTCACCGTTCGTTGAATTACATAAACAGATACGAATTATTATTTCAATAAAAAAGAAAACATTTTAAATACTCTCGTAA